TCCTTCAGATATTATGAATGATATAGACTGTATATGTAATATATATTAGTGTAAGTAAACATGTGATGAGAAATGATGTGTTTATATGCTACATGTATTCTTTATACAGGGTATAAAAGAAAACTTTTTGATTATATGTTTGTTCTATAAGTTTACATTGCGAATATCTGTCCAATAAAACAAAAATTGGAGATCCAAAAATTTACGTTCGACTTTCCTATTTTATTTTTCGATATAACTTCGTAAATAGCTTAAAAAAGTATTTGATTTTGTTGTTGCCTTGGGTTGGACGCCATTTATCAGCACACGATGGTTATACATGGCGGCCAGCAATACCGGTGGAAGAAGAAACTCGAAAAAATCGGATACGAATCAACGATCCACAGGAAGCTACTGGCAGCGTTCTCACAAACCTGCATTGGCCGAGATTCGAACTGATGCGGAGATGTGAGATGGCACAAGGCTAACTTCGACGGGATGTAAACGTGGGCCTTTAATCACAAGACATATGAGCTATTTAAGTTTTAAAAAATTAATAAATTCTAGTAATAATGAAACAATGAACTGAGCACAGTGCAAGAATGGATCAATAATATAATTTTTTGTCTTTATTCTTCCAGCCTAAATTCCCTTGTTACGGATTAGTTTAGAATAAATTGATATATTTTATATATTCTTCCCCTTAAAAAAATTACAAATATAATTCTTCTTTGTTTACATAAATGTAGCTGACATATGTTGCTCAATACTTAAAGTTAAGAAAAAAAAATAGCAAAAGAATAACTTAAAATATGACCATTGTGTTTCTCAGGAAAGAGTAAAAAAAAGAAACAAATTCAGCTATAATACACATAGAAATATTGTACCAATCGGGTATGTTTCCCCAATGCACACACTACATCTTATATTTCAGAATGCACTAATACGTTGAAACACAAATTTTAGAAACATGTCATTTCTTCCTTACAGCTAACGTCAAGGTAATATACATGTAAAAAATGCCACCAGTATGAATACTATCACTATGCACGTTAATAATAATAATAATAATAATAATAATAATAATAATAATAATAATAATAATAATAATAATAATAATAATAATAAAAATACTACTACTACTACTACTACTACTACTACTACTACAACTACTACTACTATTACTAACTTAGTACAGTGCCTAATCTTTAGGAGCTCTAAACGATTTATAACATTTGATAACACATAAAAAGGTATGCACCGTCATGATTGCACAAAAAAACAACAAAAAACAAACACCATGAAATGGTGATCAGGATTGCTTCAGTTCGATCATCATTCATCTGCAGCTTGTTACATATCATCCATGATTTCACATTGGAAATGCACCTCTCTACACCTTAGATGGAAACTTCAACTTTAGCTGGGCAAGTAGATTTGTATAGTTGAGTATAATCGGTCTACAACCGGTGAGACATCGGATATCAATCTATGACACTGGAGAGCTGCTTAGTGTATAGAATAAAGAGAAAGAGAATGAGAAAAAAGCCTCGTGGAACACCAAAAAAATATCAACTGGGCTGGAATGTTTTATGTTCACGGACATAATTTGTGACTTGTGGACTAAGTAGGACTTGCATCATAGTAAGGGTGAATCGTGAATAACAAATACATGCTGGAGACTAACGTAATATGTCATGGTCTATTGTGTCAAATGCCGCACACAAGACAAGGACGGTGATTGTAATTTTTCCACAAACCAAAGCAGAGAGAAAGTCGTTGACTACTCTCAGACGGAAAGTTTCAGCACTATGGAAAGGGCGATATGCAAACTGTAAATTGCTAAAAAGACTACTTGAATTAAGATGTGATTCAAATCTAGATAGAACAACTGTTCAAAGATTGTTTATAATGAATGAAAGGTTAGAAACAAGGCAGTAGTTGTTTTTAAATCGTTAGAATCAAGTGTCAGTTTTTTCAACAAATACTTCATAATGGCATTAAAAGAAAAGAATTATTGGAATTCCCTGGATGGGAGAGAAGTATTGATAACATTGGTTAATGAAGGCAAACTTGAGTCAAAGTACACGAGTGGAATGATGTAGTAATCTGATCGAGTTCACATGACTTTGGGGCTCTATTTGTCACACGTGTATGTACCAATTCCGTAGAGATATGTTCAGATGCTGATAAAGGTTGTCGTATATATACAGTATCACTACTTTATGGCCACGATAATTCAGTTGTGTTCTCAAGCCTATCTCCAATGGATTGAACTCAATGACGAAAGAAATTTGCAAACAGGTCTTATTACTGTAGTAGGCTGATTATATTATGTAATCGTAACAGAGACATTAATATGCTTCACGAGAAACATTTCCTTGTTCATTAATATATAATGGATTATTATACTGTCACCAGAGTCATTAAAGTTGTGTACAACCAGTTAAATAATGCTAAAGTAGAATAAGCGATTTTGCCTCCATCAGCACTATTACAGCAAGGTAAAGTCTACGGAGGCATCAATCTGCAACACTGCAGAATATATTGTACATTTATTTTATATCTTTTGGAATATTTTCTAGTTTGGAATGCTTTATTTCATTACACAGTAATGCGATCTCTATAGCAAGCACACCACGGTCGTATTTTGTCTTCTACCTCACGTGCACACACTGTCGAATGCATCCGTCACAACACGGTCCGCGACGGGTATTTGATCGTACGCAGATATTGATGGGGAAAACCTTAGTCATAAGCGCACTAGGGAAACACACGAATGCTTTAATTGATATCATTGGGGGCTGATTGCCATTTGCATTTAGAAAAGCAATTTGTTAGTGGAATTACTCTGCATTTGGAGACTTGCTGTAAAGATATTCGCTTCCGAACATCACTCTGGATCTCAGTAAATGAATACGCTAACAGGACTTTAAAGAGGCCAAAATACAGTGACCAAAACTATTGATTTGGACCAACACTCACAATGAGAGAGAGAGAGAGAGAGAGAGAGAGAGAGAGAGAGAGAGAGAGAGAGAGAGAGAGAGAGAGAGAGAGAGATGTAAGTGCCAATTATAATCACCCCAAATCATGTCACTTAAAGTAATATTGCAATGTTTGCCGTTATTTATTGTGCCTCTCAACTCGACAGATCCTTTATATCTTCGTGTATATGTTAAAATATATCATATCATTGACCATTAATTAGACTTATGAAGTATTAAAAGTTAGTATTTAGTGCAGAGACTTCTGTGAATTATCTTAACATGAACCACATATTGTTTATAAACACCATAATTTATCACAGTACCATTTAAATAGATTGGTACTTATACATAATGTCAATAATATTAAATAAAACGTAATAAAAGTCGATAATAGAAACTTGTACGGACAGTACAACAGGCAGTTTTAAATAGCTACTAAAATTCACGAATAAGTGCTAACTGAATGATATTAAAAGGTAGTCACCTTTAGTTCATAGTGTGTTAATGAAGATATTTGGCATATATAAATGGAAGCTGCGCACCATCAGATATGCATTTCTGTGTTACATAGATGTTGTGGGAAATCCTGAAAGAACTTTGCGAGATGAATTAGGAAATTAATTATAGAAACGAAAATGGATATGAGGACGCCAAGCGAACATAACCATGGAAAAGCAATTTAAAACTCCAGTAGGTAAAAATGCAAAAACAGAATATGACTTAGAAACTAATTAAATTTTTTCAATTAGATCCAACTAGAAATCAAAACGGCTTGATAAAACGTATCATTGATTTTATCAGCAAATGAAGAGAGTGAAAAATAGAACAATAGTACCTATACAAATTTTACGGTTAGAAGACCAACGTTTTCAAGTTTGAAAACTATCACATCGACAGATTCAACGTAAAATAAATCAGTGTTCGCAAGTGTTAACATTTTTGTTACATATAGTTAAGACTTTGATGCCAATAACTCAATGTCTTACCGTGTATCGCAAGACTAGATTAGTCGGTACCATCCAGTTCCAAAACCACCACACACCACCACCACCATCACCACTATCATCATCATCATCATCATCATCATTCACTAGAGGTGTATGTAGGATTCTTTAAAAAGCTTGCTAGTTATGCTTGCCCAAGAAAAACCCAACAGAAAAGACATAGCAGACATGAAGAATTCTCACGTTGACGAAATCCGCCGAGAAAAGCTAGCTAGACGCAACGAATACACTAACAGCAGATATGTGATAAAAGTGAAGACAAAGAAAAAAATTTGTTTAAAATAGAAGAAATAATACAATGGACAGGACCCATTGCTAAGACGGAGTAATATTAAAAGTATGATCGTAAAGAAGACACCATGTGTGAATATGGTTATCTAGTATACATTTTCTGGTGGCAATGATCAGGACATTTATGTTTTTTTTGTGTGTGTATGTTAACCACACGCGAATACATCTATTGGCTTGACTCTCTAGTCGTTCAATATGTATTGAAAGTTAGACCAAGGAAACTGTGCTCATTAGAAGAGACAGGAATTCATTGACAGGAGTTTCTATCGAACAGTAGAAGCAACTCTGCGATGCATGTCTGTACTTACTTATGTATGCAGGCAAGTATGATCTGTGTAATGTTTATACCACTATGCTAACATTGGTAAGTGTTCGAGAACTCTCAAGTTCTGTACTACTGCTATAGACAGTTATTGTTGGAAGTTTTTCATATCTATCTACTATTACGGTTTGTGTCACGTATGGTACAGTTTGTGTGTGTTTGCGTGTGTGTGTGCGTGTGTGTGATTTGGATTTTTAACGTAGCTTTAACAATTTTTAAGTCATATCCCTAGGATGTCTGTAATGTGGTAGTTTGTAGTGATGTCTAGCATGGAGGCATCATGCCGCAGACATGTAGCATGATATCCTACCAAGTTACATTAACCTGACACCAGGCCGACCAGACCAAACACTAGCATCTTAATGCTGAGTGCCAAGCGAGGCAGCTGTTAGTACCATTTTTGAAAAGTCTTTGGCATGATTTGGCCGGGGATCGAAGCCACGACCTTCCGCATCCAAGACGGACGCTCTAACCACTAGGCCACCGGAGCGATTATGTATGTATGTATGTATATATGTATGTATGTATGTATGTATGTATGTATGTATGTATGTATGTATGTATGTATGTATGTATGTATGTATGTATGTATGTATGTATGTATGTATGTATGTATGTATGTATGTATGTATGTATGTATGTATGTATGTATGTATGTATGTATGTATGTATGAATAAATGGCTAAATTTATAAAATCGTTATCAATCTACATTCATCTCTCTTTTCACATCTCTTGTTTTTATTCAATATCTATGTTCCTCTAATTTTATTGATCATTGTCCGATTCAGCACCAGTAAAGTTTATAAGTGTTACAAATTGCCAAATTAGGTCACTGACAGCAAAAATTCAACATTGACGAACTTTGTGGAACACTTTTGAAGTGAATCTTGCTACTTTTTATTCCTTCGAAGAATTAAAAATAATAAGGAAATGGAGAAATAAATCGAGAGAGAGAGAGAGAGAGAGAGAGAGAGAGAGAGAGAGAGAGAGAGAGAGAGAGAGAGAGAGAGAGAGAGAGAGAGAGAGAGAGAGAGAGATTTTCGACGATGTTTTGTTTTGTAGGGTGAATTTTTTCCACCAAAGCCACTTTCAGATGGGAATCGTGATCCAATCGGATGGCCTGTAGTAATCTTTAGCCTGATTCAGGCTAATTATGCGGGGGAAGGTCCTCCCAGATATTTTGGCCATTTTCCATTAAAGGTCTTGAATCGACTTTCAAATTTGCAGTATTCAGGGAAACGCACTGGGAACGAATATTCGTCTTTCCCATGTTGATTTCGATGAGGGTCCAGTGAAATCTACAGGATTTTGCTCAGTTTTTTATGACATCCATAGGGTGGTAGCCGCATAATTTCCCGTGGAAGATGACATCCGAAAATAATGTAAAAAGAAGAACGATGCCGATTGTCATCGCTTTTGCATCCGTCAGGCTTGACACGTACACCATCATCATCACTTTCTATGGTAGGTGTAGCTGTAGCAAGGTTCCCATTATGATGTGGTACTGAATCACTGAGGCCATATCGTATGGCATCTATGCCATCGCATGGTACAGCATCGAATTCGAGTTTGCTTTTGTTTGATACTTGCCTTTGAAAGGATTCATTTTTCTCTCTTGGCACTTATAGTGACAATGATCTATTGGTTTTGGACGTTGTCCATTTTTATATACAGACCAATATCGGAATGTCCGTACGGTAAAGTGCAGTGGTTGTGAAACCGTACTCGATTTGATAGACTTCTTCCAAGGATTGACTGACAATTTGATGTGTAGGTAAACGTACAATCTTGTTTGGTTATTAAGTGGCCACTTTAAAGTCTCCATCTTCTCCAGGCTGGAAAGATTTTTTTAGTTCGCCAAAGTTTACCCCTTGACTGGTGCGATAACTAAGAGTCAATCCTTTTACTATACACTCCGTGTGCACTTCTTCTTTGGGGTCACGGTATTATTAGCTGTAGTATTTGGGACCGCCACATGCAAAATTCTGAATCTTGTCCTCGGGATGCTAGTCTGTCCATGCTCTTAAACGGTTTTTTCGATTTTAAAGTGTTGTTGACACAGACCCAGATGCATCTGTCCATGCCAAAATACAACACAGTCTTGTAACAGTTCTAAAGCTTCGTACAGTTTTAAGTGAGCATGGGCTAATACGTAAGCCGCAATGATGACATTTCCAAATTTGTCAGCTTCTATAAAGTCCAGTTCTTCCTAATTGACTAAGACGAAGATCACGTCCTCCCAGTATTTATCTTTGAATTTCTTTCGGCCTTCAGGAGTGTGACACCAGGAAGGATAGCCACTGGCTTCTTGTTTCAGTTTCATAAAATCATTCACGTAGTCTGCGAAAATGTCTTCCTGAGTCTCGTCGCCCTTGTGATAATTTTCTATCGTGAGAAAGTGGTAAATTTCGTACACTTCTAACAGTTGGTGTCCCATATCTAGAGCTTTAAACAACTCCACGCCGACCCACGGTCCAGTCAAGGCGCGTTCTTCGTGAGTGAGCTGACAAAGTTGGTCTTGATTGCACGTTTCAGCACAGGTACGACAGAAGAGAAATATCAGTTGTCTTTGACAACGGTGTGGTAACACGGGATGGTACTACAAGTTCGTGGGAGGAGAAACTTTAAATTTAATCAGTCCTTCGTAATTGCGGGTGCAGTTGCGGGTGTCCTGCATAAAAGCGACAGTATTTGCAAACATTACTTTCTCCTCGTCAACTTGGCACAGCTAACAGGTGGCATTCGTTCGTCTTCCGTACAAACTGTTCCGCGGGTTCAGATGGGCCATCATTTTGTAACTTTCGACAATGCGAATAACTCTTGATCAATTTTCAATCGGTGATTATATCTGTGTTCCGTCATTTATACCACTTGGAATCCCTGCTCTTCTAACTTCAAGTCGCTGATAAGTGGCCTGGTATAACTCTTCCATGGTCCATTGTAAAATCTAATTTCTAGTGTTACGTTGAGGGTAGCAGTTGGGAATTCCGTGAAATAAGCAGCCGTTACACTAGTACACGATTTAAGGGTATTCTAAGTCCCAGCCATCCTCTGAATACCTTCTGATGGCTTTTTCGACTCCTCTGTTGCGAGCGTGATGGATTCATTTGTCTTCCTTGTCGCACAAGCAATGTAACCAACGTAGGGCTTTGACTGAGTATTGACGTTTGACAAAATTGGAAGTTTGAGGACTGATGACAGCCACGGTGTTTTCGGGCATGAATCGTTGGCTGTACACTAAGGAAAACTTTTTGGCAATGGTGCAGGGTTCCTCCAAAGGATCGATCCCTCTGTATTCCATGAACAGTTCTTAAAAATTTCCACAGCAACGCTGTAAAATGTTCATGTCAGAACGACAATACTTTAACATTTCTTCCTGAAAGTCGAAAGGGTCTGAGGCATAAGACTGTTACCAAACGTAGAAAGCTTTTCGTTGTTCGGTACACATGTTGTCCCTGTCTTAGTAGTGTGCCTACGGCAAATTTGGTACAACGGCGCGCTGATCGACTTCGGTATTGAAAAGTGTGGAAAATAACTTTTGGCCATTTATGGCATGTGAACAGATTTAGGCATGCGACTCAAAGGCACAGCTAATTAACTCATCGAATTTTTAAACTGCACTTTGCCCACTTGGATGGAAATGATTTTGGCTCCGTTGAAAGTCACTTTAGGACTATTGGTACTTTGTTCCGAATAGTATCTCAAACTGGTCATCTATCCCGAGAAATTGTTTGCCATCACTGTTGCATTGTAGTGAAACTCTCCGTAACGTTCGATGCCTTCTTCGCTCCATATCTTGTAGATAGGGTTTAAGGTCCATTGTGCAAAATAGGCTATTATGTTCGATCCCTAAAATATGTTTTACGCGTCCTTCAGGAATCTGGCTAAAGTAAAGGGTAATGAGTCAAGATAGGCTCTTAGATGCAATTCTCGCACGCTCGTTGAGCCACTCAGAAATTAGGAATGTGAATGCAAGTCTCGAAAAAGGAGAGGCCCACGCAGTTATTGAGAGTTTACTATCAAGGTTTAGCGTGGTGCCAAGAAGTCTTGCAGAATTTGCATTTCAGGAATGCTGCAACGTCTTTCTTTGGATATCCCCGCTTGATGTAGCAGGAATAATACTTATCTTTGTTGTCTGGCTAAGTCCCATCGTCAAATATTTTTCTAGGCTCTTTTCCATTCTTTCTTGTCGTTCTTGTCGGCATACGTTCTTCCCACCTTAATAGTACTGGTTAAACACATCTACTTGAGGGTTGTTAATCTGAGTGGCCGAGTGGTCTAAAGAGCTGACCGTTACAGATCACTGCCATCTCACCTCTGTCTGAGTTCGAGTCCAGACTCGGCTAACATGGATTAGTGAGAAAACCTGCCAGTAGCTTTTCGTTGGTCGGTGGTTCTTCCCGGGGTTTTCCAGGGTTCTTCCTCCACCATTAATACTGGCCACCATGTATAGCCCATCTTGTGCTGAAAAATGGCGTTAAACCCTACAACAACAACAACAACAAAAATATTAATTTGAAGGAGGCTCTTTTTAGTGCTGCGAAGGTTGTCTACAAATAACACCTTTTGCGTTTTCATGTCAATTGGGGAAGAGAAACGTAATTCATGAACAGTGTCGTTTTCCGTCGGTGATGTGAAACACGTCGTTGGATTGTTGCACATGTTCAATCTTGTCCATTACTTTGTAAAGTGTCAATTCTGCTGGACTGCTCAACTTGATCCAAACGGGAGACTTCAAATTGTCGTGATGAATGGAGTCTCAAGGGATAGTCTTCTTTGGCTTGACATTGCTGTTGCAGTGTGGTTAATAAAGAATCCCACACATCGTTTATGAACCCTTTGCCTTTTCCAAGGGTTCGTCGGATTTGAAATATTGAAAACTTCACCGTGTTTGTGTAGGTCGTTGTTGTAAATTTTCTTGAGAGCATTTGTCCGTTTCTCTAATGTGGTATTACTTTTCAGAGTAAACTGGTAATGATAAAATTTGACTATATACTCTGGGTTAAGATTCAAGTTCACTCATCTCATCTTCAAAATCACTGGCATGAATGATAAGTGAATCACCAGGCCAAGACGTCAGCTATTGTGTGAGGCTATAATCACGTTTCTGCCTCTTACTTTCTTTACAAAATAATGCGATCGTTTTATCTTGATTGAAAAAGTTCAAATGACAACATTTGAAATGCTATGGACACATATATCCATGTCAGACCAGTGAAGATATAAAGGGCTTGTGACTTCCCTCTCAATATTCATTTCACTCTCAAACCGATCAGCACAATGGAAGAGCCCACACAGATTGAACATCTGATTAGAGCTTTGCTAGGTATCATACGAAAGTTTTCTTCAGAAAAGCCGACAGATTACTCTCTATCCTTTCTAGATAAAAGTCAAGATACTTACCATATCTGTCAGAACACGGGGCATTGGGCTACAGCATATCCAGATCCTCATAAAAGCAAGATGATACCCGAAGAGACAAAAGTCA